CCTGGCTCAGCACCTCAGCATCAATCTAGGAACAAAACCAACCCCCACCCCAGCTCCAATTAAAGCATAAAATCATTCATTTGGCCAAGAAGCCTCTTGGGAATTATCCCACGGCTGGAAGGGGGAGAAAACCCTCCTCCCTCCCCCCCCAAATTAATCATCTTTTGGGTTTGTCGATGAATTTCGTGGTTATTGGGAGGAAAAATCCCAATTTTGCTGGTTTCCCCCCCCTCAGGGGTTTGGGAAATTCAAGGAAAACATCAGTTCTCACTTCATAACTGGTGGAGATTTGGTTTCCAACCCTGGAGAGACTAAAATGCTGGAATTCGCAGCAAAAAAAAAAGCCACTTTCAGGTAAAAAACCATCCCCAAAATCCCACTTTTTGCCAAAGAATTGACCAGCCTGGATCTCCTTCCCTGAAGGGAACAAAACCCCCTTGTCCCAAGGTTTCTTATCCCTCCCCCCTCCAGAATTCCTTGTGTTTTGGGTTTGCTGATGAACTCCTTGATTATTGGGAGGAAAAATCCCAATTTTGCTCTTTTTTTTTTTCCCCCAAGGGCTTGGAAAATTCAAGGAAAACATCAATTACCACCTAAAAAGTGGTGGAATCAGCAGCAAAAAGAGGCTCGTGATTCAAAATTCCACAGTCCAGGAAGAGAAACTTCTGGGGAAAGGATTGAACCAGAGCTGGGAAGTGGAAGGAGGAGGGAAAACTTCAGGGTTCTGTGGAAAAAACGGAACCAACTTCTTGGTTTCTCTGGTCCCTTCAAAATAAAACTCATTCCAGGATTATCCCTAAAAGTGGATAAAACTCCCAGTGCCTGGAAAAGAAACCTCTTTCCAGGATTATTCCTAAAGGTGGATAAAACTCCCAGTGCCTGGAGAATAAATCTCTTTCCAGGATTATTCCTCAAGTTGAGGAACCTCCTGGTGACTGAAAAATCAGCCTCATTCCAGGATTATTCCTATAAAAAGGGCAACCTCCCCATAATGCCTGGCAATGTGTCCCCCCCACCCGGGTGGTATTTGCTGTCAGCAAACTCCCACGTGCCCAGCAATGCCAGGGAAAACACAGCTGGAAAAATGCCAGGGAAAACACAGCTGGAAAAATTCCAGGTCTGAGGAAGCCGCTGGGAGGTTTGATTGCCCGGGGTTGGCACCAGGAGCCCCCCTCACCCCCTGATTCCAGGTGTTATTCCTTGTTTTCTTCCCCAGCTGAGGGAAACCCTCCCTCTCCTCTTCCCTCCCGCTGGAATGGGAACCAGGGATGTGCCAAAAGAAATGGTTTTGGGGACTAAAAATCAGCAATTTTGTCAATCTCTGCAAAACCAACAGTTATTTGCAGGATGCACC